GGAACAAACAAGTGGTCAGAATTTACCCAAATCGAGCTCCAGGGCAAATTTTGATGCAGTGTGACCTGAATTTTGAGCAGCCGCAGTAAACAGTAAATGGAGCCCAAAGCCCTTCAGAGACCCCTCTGGTCGACTGATTTCCTCAGACAGTGAAAAATTCCCAAAATCAATTTATCCATACATCACTGAAACAAGAATGAAGCCGGACTTGATGGAACCGCATCTGCTCAGACATATCACAAAAAATACAAATCATTTTTTATTCAGTGATAAGTAGCCTTTATAGTGATTATTAAGAATACAACAATGTAAAGGCTGCATGAAAAAGACAAAATGCAAAACATGAGCGATTCCGATAGAGAAAGCGCTAAACCTGAGTAATTAAGTACACGGAACTCTTATGGAGCTTTTGGTACAATATCATAATAATCAAATTTCAAAATATTCAAAACGAAGATACAATTCGAAGAGTATGACTAGGAAAATATAACATTGGAAAGTGCTTCAATACAAATGAGATCGTCTCCTATCATTATTATACTGTACTAACACATCTAGCTCCTGCGACTGCTAAATGAAAGAGAACTGCGATAACTATTGGAAAAATTGCGGCACTGTGCCGTGGTGCTTGAGGCAATGATACGCAAAACGATCATGACGCCAAAATCTGGCCGTACATCCTGGAGCAGTACACTCGAGTTCTCGCATCTTCAAATGTTCACGAAAAACGTGCGCATCCACGTTCTTCTTGTCAGCATAACTGATTCCACACTTCTTGCATGCGTATGGTTTCTCTCCTAAACCAGAGACTATTAAAGAATGAGGCGCTATAACAGCAAGGCATTTTTGTGCAACAATTCAAGAAACTCCTCTTGCTTGAAAAACACCATTTTGTATATGGCGCATTCACTAGCCAGCAAGCTCTTTTGCCTTTTCACATATTCTCATCAGTCAACCGGTTCTCAGACAGTTCTTTTCCGATACAGGTCAGTCACTCAGATAGAAAATGGAGGATTCTCAGGAGTAAAACGAGAAAAAAA